TAAATATTCATTAATGATATAAATATATTGGTTATTAACAAAAAAGAATAAGATTGGAGTGGTTATTCTGATGTGTATTGATTTCGTTGATTAATCACATTGATTATGTTAATGATAGTATAAACATTACGATATCAGTAATGATAATCGTAGTTAACATTTTTATGTTAATGATAATTATTATTTTAATTAATTAAACATATACAAAATAAATATTCATTAATGATATAAATATATTGGTTATTAACAAAAAAGAATAAGATTGGAGTGGTTATTCTGATGTGTATTGATTTCGTTGATTAATCATCATGAAGACTTAAATTATTTTGACTAGACTGAAGTAGCTGAAAGTGCTTTAGCCATAATATTCGCTGTATTTTACTCTTAACCATATTGATCAAACGTCCCTTGTTTCTGCTTAGCGAAGCTGTCGTGTTGCATAAATGTTTGCTTAGTTTTCTATCAATTCTAATGCCTATGCTTACTGTTCTTGTTACTTGGTTTGGATACATCTTTTTTGAAACTCTTTATTCTCGTCTTAGTTGTTGCAGAATAGCAATTGGTAGTGTATTCAAAGTTCGAACGAGCAAAACTTAACTATTTCTTTATATATCTTGCGGTTGCTTATAGTAATAAGTCGTATCTACCCACGATGTGTTTGGCTGTGGTTTTAGTCTTTGGTCTTGGCTTAATTAAGCATCGCTGCTTTAAGCACGCACGCGAGATATGCAAGTCCGCATTTTAATTGACTCTTGAGCTCACATCTAATATTTACAAGATATTGCAAAACATTTAAAAAAATTTAAAAAAATAATTATTACTTTTATGTGTATTTTATTTTTTTATAATTTTTTCTTTTAGACACCAGCTGAATAAAGGATAAATATATCCAGCATGAAGGGCTGGTTCGACGCATTTCGAGACGATGGCGGTCCAACGCTTTATTCATTCTCAAATCGAACACCCGTCACAGGCGATGTCTCCATTGTGGCTGTCTCAGTGCTCTTTGCCACATTCTATGTGGCGTTCCTCGTCATATTTCCGGGTGTGCGTAAGCAGGTGAGTGTAAAAAGGAGAAATTGGACTACTCTATAAAACCTTAGCCAAAGTATTTTTATCATATTTTCATAGTTGAACTTTAAATTTGAATAGAATTTCTGAAATAGAATTATGAAACGAGCTCTACAGGAAATTGTTGTTAAGAGATTTGCCTTTGCTAGTTTTTGTTTTAGAACTCAAATAAAGCTTAGTTTTTATTCTAATTCCTCGAACTAGTTTATAGGCATGCCAAGGACTTGACTTGACTTTATTATGACAATGCCAAAGAACCAGTTTTGTTCTTTATATATCACTTACGTTCTTTAATTAACTTAATAATAGCTTAGAGTGGGCCGAGCTGGGCTGGGCTGGGCTGGGCTGGGCTGGGCTGGTCTGGTCTGTCTCTGGGTCGTGGCTGCTACACGTAGTTCTCACGCTGCTGCCGTCTTGTCTACGTTTCGTATTTAAGAGTGACAGCTGTAATCATAATCGTCGGCACGTTTTCAAATAGATGTCAGATATAAGTCTTTAACCTGTTTGCCCGGCGCGCCCTTTTCTTTCACGCTTCTCTACCGCCGCCTCCTCCCTTCCTCCATCAATAAACGCTCAGCTCGTTTGGCCAATTGAGTGGCTGGCTTATTCAATTAGTCAACCAATTGGCAGAGTCGTTGGCCATAACTGGCTTTAAAACGCTTACGTCTTATGTAATTACCGTTTCACTTACAGCACACATACAGACACACACACACACTCACACGTGCGTGTAAATTGAGCATCTCATTATAATCGACATCTCGTTTTCATATTCACAGAAGTTCACAACATTCTCGACGGTCACACTGAGTCTCTTTGTGGGTCTAGTCATACTGAGTGAGTATTTACCTGTCTGCCGTGCCGTTTGCTATGTTAATTCCATATTAATTTTCTGCTTCTTCTTCTTCTTTGTCACTTGCAGTTACCCGGCTGGGCTCAGCGTGGCATGTGGCACATGCAACAATCATTGCACCATATAAGGCATTCTCACGCGAGAAACTGCCCGCCCGCATCGGCACCCACATCGGACTGATGCACGTCAATGTGACACTGACAGGTGAGATGACAATATGAACATGAATATGAATTGGGATATGAATATAAATATATAAATAAATAAAGTACTTATTAAGCAAAGCGTTTATATGCGATAGATTACGTTGTTTTATGCGATACTTAGAAAGAAAGAAGTTTTAAAATGATGGGTTTAGAATATTTCGTAGTCGGGAGGCCCAGCTGAGAGCACTCTTACTTTTTTGTTAATATTGTAGAATAGTTTTTTTTTTT